AAGGGTATATTTTGGAGGCAGTGACAATATGAATGAGAAAACAACAAAACGGTGAAGAAAGTAAAGTAAAATTAAGAAAAGTAACTTAGTATCATAAACTGAAAATTGAAGAGGAATATAAATTATGGGACAAATTTCATATCATAGAAAAATGCTCCCTTACACCTGGAAAAAACAAAAATTAAAAAATTAAGGGGAGAAAATAGAAGAATGTAGCTTTCAAATGGGGCAATAAACTAGGCGAGGTTCTCAAAGCCTCAGTGGTCAATCCAATACATCTATAACCTCATGCGGCGGATTATTGGGCCGCTAAATTTTGCTATAAATATTGGAATTTTTGGAAGAAACAGATGAAAGTTTGCTGATCAATCTCTGATAGACAGCCCAATTGAAAAAAAATATATGAGAAATTACAACTTGGGTTTTACTCCCAATATCGTAGTCCTCGGCATTTTCATCATTATATCCATATTTAATATTGCAACTACATCTGCAGGTATAAATGATATTATTTAATTTGTTGTAGTTTATTACAATCCTATATATATTTTGAGTAATGATATTAAGCTTGTGAGATAATTGTTACTAATGTTTTATTGAATATTGAATAGATGGAATATGTGAAAATGTGGACTGTGTAAAAGGAAAATGCGTAGAGGGAGGAAGTTTTTTGGGAATGGGATTCGACTGTGTTTGCGATCTTGGTTGGAAGAAAATGCAACTTGGCCCTATTAGTTTTCCTGCTTGCAATTTTCCTAACTGTGAGTCTCATTTCATATGTACTGTAGTTTTCTAAATTAAAATTATTGATAAGAATATTTTTGCCTTATTGTTGATTTCTCTTTCCTAGTCAATAAGAGATAGTTTTGGAAATAAAAATTATTGATTAAAATATATTTTTGCCTTTTACTTTTCTTTTGTTTATGGGGCCGAGTTTATAGTTTTTTCACAGCAGAATTCTAATACTCCTCAAAAACACTTTTTATATTCGGCAAAATACCTTAATCTCCCAAGAAATAGGTTTTTTTAAGGAGCCGTTTGGACATGATTGTTTTTTCCTTTTTTCCAAAAACTATTTTCAAATCAATGATTGGTTATACGTTTAACTAAATTTTTGAAGATGAGTTTCAAATTAGAAAAAGCTTTTTTTTTTACCTCTTTTTTAAGTAACAATGTTTTTCTCTCACAAAATAGTAATATTTTTTTAAGTAAAATACATGTCCAAACACAATTTTAATTCTCAAATACTATTTTTCAACTAAAATAAAAAAATTACTTTTTTCAATTCTCACACATTTTTTATGTCCAAACGCCTGCTTAGTATCTCAATAACTTGCAGCTGTGAATTGTAGGTACGCTCGATTTCGATTGTGGGACTCAGGCACCCTCGCCACCTCCATCAGCTAATTTCTCAGACCGTAATTTCCGTTGTCCCTATCAATTCACAACGTTTCTCTATCCCCCACCTCCCCTCCCCTAATTAATTGGTACTCCCTCCGGTTCACAATAAGTGATCAGTTTACTTTTTCATTTTGGTTGAAAATAAGTGTCCAGTTAGGTAATTAAGAAAATTTTTTATTTGTTTTTACTCTTTTATCCTTAGGTGCATATCCCTAAAAAGTTTTCTCACTCCTCACTATAACTATGTCACCAATATTTAATAAGGGCAGTTTAGTCATACTAGGTATTTTTATATAAGATTTAACATTTTTCTTAATGAGCGTGTTAAAAGGAAATTGATCACTTATTATTATACTAGTAGTACTTACTTTGTAAAATCTGTGTTAAGGAAAAAGTTTGTAATTTTGTATATTTGCATTTGTTTTTTCGTCTAGCAGTAGTAACTTGTTATATGAACACTTGAAGGCGAATAACACAAAGTAACCTGTATTTCTGTTTGCTTTTTTATTTTTTGTCACAGCGTGCAGTTTAGTATGGTGTGGTAATGGAAAATGTCACGTTAACGGAACGGGACATTACTGCCAATGTAATGAAGGTTCCACCCAATACTTGAATATGTCTGCGCTACCTTGCCTTGATAAATGTAAGTTTCATTTTCCAACCCAATTCTCTCCCTTTTTCAAGAATAAAAAATTGAAAATCTTAAACACCAATTTACCATATGAACAATAATTTGTATATTTTTTCCAAATACTTCGTCCAATCCGTGTTACTTAATTTTCATACATTAAGAAAATCACCTTTTAACATTACTAATTAACAATGAAATTCACCATATTAATCTTGATTTGTTCATTGAAAATATAACAAATACTCATATGTTCTTTATTCCAAGAGCAATTTTGAAAAAAAGAAGTTAATTCCTTCTTGATATCTTAAAAAATCAAATATTGTGGACCACAAAAAAGATCTAAAAATCAATTAAAGTAGATCCGAGGGAGTAATTAATTTTAAAGAATAAAAAGGCTATGGAGATTCAAGCTTTGTGAACATTATAATTTAAATTGTGATTTCTCAGCCACTGATCTCTTAGAGTACATGATAATTATATCATACTATCAACTCTAAAAAAAATGGATGCACCTCTATTCTTTGTTGTCAAGTGTCTACCATGCGTTCAACACTATATTTGAAACTAATTTGTTTTTTCTCTTTAACACCAAATATTTGAGTACCTAAAATAAATAGTTCTTAATGGAACAGGCGTTTTCGGACCAGATTGTAAAGGAGTGGCGTTGAGTCCCCAGCCTACCATTCCACCCCCTCCTTCTCCAGGGCATGGTATGTTAATCTAATGGTGTTTTCTTAATTTTAGGTGATATAAATATGTTTAAAACATTTATATTCCCGATAGTGAAAAAAAATGAATTTGTAGTATTAAATTTTTCTTAGAAACATTGGCCGAATTTAAAAATAGGAGGCAAAACAACGAAAACTTTTTATTGGGTGAAACCGAGGCTCCTTAGTCCTTACACAAGTTAAAACCGTATTGAATAGGAAATGCAACAAAGTCGTCTTAGAAAATTCCACCTTGATTTGTAAGTTTTACTACAGTATATATGCTTATTTAATGATTAATCTTCCAAATACTTAATAGAAACTCTATCAGGAGTCGTGCATGGTCCACACCAAAGTCCTCAATCCCATCTCTCTTCCCTAAATAGTAAGTCAAAGAACTTCTTCTCATATGAATTCATAACGTTTTGCCTAAACCTAAATATATTTGTGTAAAATTTATTAGAATTGTTAAAATGATTGAATTATAAACACATAACTCAAATAAGGTGATGGAATTAGTGTTTCAACCACTAGTTCCGAACCCATAATATTAAAATTTCGAATTCAACTATATTTATCTTTAGGGGAATCACTACTAGAAATTCGGAAAAAAACTGACCAAAATAGGCCTGTAATAGCCAATAACCGTCCAAAACGCGACCACTAACGTGTGGCTGGTATTTTGAAGGTCGGAAGGGCATACCGACCAAAGTTGGTCGGAAATTACCGACCGACCTTTGGTCGATCAATTAAATTTAAAAAAAAAATTGCCCAAAAAACCGACCAAAGTTGGTCGGTTTTTTAATTATGTAATTAAAAATGCACCATATGGGAATCAAAATGGGGTCTATATTGTGGCAGAATACTATTCTACCACTAGACCATTGGTGCATTTTGTTTTTAAACTGTCTTTTATTTCATTTATACTCTTTAATTATATTTTTGCACGAAAATAACCGACCAATGTCGGTCGGTTTTATTAAAAAAATAAAATTACTGATCGAATTCGATTGGTTTTTTAAAATGACCGGCCGAATTAACCGATTGATTTCGATCGATTTTTTTAATATTAATTTTAATTTATTTTAAATTAAAAACCAACCAAAGTTGGTCGGTTTCTTGAAAAATAAATTTCACGGGACTCAAAAATAATTTTCCGTATTTTTGCGCCAAAGAAAACCAACTAAAATTGGTCGGTTTCGTAAAAAAAAATAAAAAATAAAATATTTCCTTTTCTTAATATATTAACCAACTAGGACTAAGAAGGCCGTGCTTAATTCAATAAAATTTATTGAGACTCAAACTTATAATCCTTTTATTTTTTGATGAATAGATGGAGCATGTGAACATGTGGACTGTGGAAAAGGGAAGTGCGTAGAGGGAGGAGGTTTTTTGGGACTTGGATTCCAATGCGTTTGCGATCCTGGTTGGACACAAATGCAACTTGGCCCTGTTACTTTTCCTACATGCAATGTTCCCAACTGTGAGTCTCTTTCCATTTTAGAATATTTTGACATTGAGTTTTGGACCACAATATTTTTTGCTTATTAGGTTTTACGTATTAAATAATATTTTAACCATCTAATTATAGATTTTGAGTCAAAACTACTATGTTCGACCAAAATCATAACTACAACGGTAGTTCCGCCTTTGATTCCAATATCAGTTAATGATAGGGTTGCTATGAATTTGCAGGTACACTCAATCTAGGTTGTGGGAGTCCCTCGTTACCTTCAGCTCCAGCACCCTTTAACACTTCTGACCGTAATTTCCATTAAACTCGCAGCGTTTCCTTATTTATTTTTTTTCCAACAAAAGTCGTATCCCTGTTTGAGGAACTTGATTTCAAATGATCCGTTATAATTTGAATAGAAAAAAATGAATGATCATACAAACATTTCCCATATTATATTTTATCAATTTCTTGTGAAAAAGACTATATAAGTTTAAAGAAAAAATGACACTGTATAACCGCTCTCAAAATAATAGCTGGAAAAGTGTAGATTTTTTTGTATAATTTTTGTATATATATATATACTAAATATAAATAGTTTCTGACAAGGACTAAAATGATAAAATGCGCCATACAAATGTCCTCATTCGTATTGATGACGGAACTATGTATATTTTAGTATTTTTGTTAAGTAGCTTTGTTATATGAACACTAAAGACGAATAAAACAAAGTAAATCCATCCATTTTTGTTTTTCTTATTATATTTTCTCACAGCTTGCAGTTTAGTATTGTGTGCTAATGGTAAATGTGAAGTTAAGGGAACGCAACACTACTGCCAGTGCAATGAAGGCTCCGAAAATTTGTTTGATATACCTACGCTACCTTGTCTCAATAAATGTGAGTTCTCTCTTCCAACCCAATTCTCTATTCTCGAGTCTCCGCCATTGGTGGCAATATAGACGAATTCAAAATTTAAATTTTATGGGTTCAGATTTAAAATTCTATCATCTCATCTAATTTACTTGGTTCAAAATCTATTATTTGTACTAATTTAATTAGTTTTTTCAAAAAATATACAAGGTCTAAGCCAAACCTCAAACCTATGGGTTCAGATGAACCCATAGATTCTATTCTAAATAAGCCCCTAGGTGGCGGAGTTAGAATTTCTGGCACTGGAATTCAAGAAATACAAAAATATCACTCTTGAGATTTGAACATGTATGTCTCTTATTTCACGGGAATTCAAAATTTTATATTTAAACAAAAAGATTTGTGAAGTACAACTTTTTGGCCAAGGTTGAATTCTTTTCCTTGCATGTGGCTTCACTGCTATCTACCATGTCTATACACGAAAGTATTTCATTTTTCTCGTTAACACCCAAAATTTAAGTACATAACTTAGTGGTGACAAAATAGTTAAAAAAACAGTTAATCACTCATATTATTCACTAAAAATGGGTTGGATAATAAATTTTTTAAAAACGGGTCAAATATGGATAAGAACCATATTATCATTTAGAAAATGGTTAACCAATGGGTAACTAATGGATAACCAATGAATTTAACTTTTACATTTGTAAAACCTTAAATTGGGGGTTTCTCAAGTTTGGGAGACTAGGAATTCTCTAAAAGTGATCATATTCAAGAAGTCATGGATAATATGATTACCCATATTATCCGCCGGTTAACCCATTTTTATCCGTGTTAAATATGGGTTGGATCGAATAATTATCTAGTTTTTCATTACCCGGCTGACCCAAACCATATCCGACCCGACCGTTTGCCACTCCCATACATAACTAATGATCCCGAGTGAAACAGGTGTATTTGGAGCAGATTGTAAAGGAGTAGAGCTGGGTGGTCACCAGCTGAACCTTGTACCTCCTCCGCCTCCAGGGGATGGTAAGTTAAATTAATATTCTTTCTTAGTCATATTTAAGTTAGATAACAATCCATTATTCTTTATTTTGTTTATTCGGTGGGGGAATAAGCATGGATCGAGTGACTGAGTGTGTGAAAATCTCGGAGTGTTTTTTATTTGATTATTCTTACAAGGGCCTGGAACGGAATGGGCATGTGGCATATGGGCCTTTAATGGGTCAAGTTAATTTTGGAAAAAAAATCAGAAATAACCAGATTTATAACTGGTAATTAGAAAATAATCATAGTTTCAAAATTAATCAAAATTTAGTCATTTTTCATGTCAAGATAAAATTTGAAAATATTACCCTTAAAAATCCAAAAATATTCCATCATAATATGACGGAGTTCGAATTTTTTACGTATGAGCTTGCGACATTATGTGCTGGAATTCCAACATAATATGCTAGAAGTATATACGCAGAAGGTCCATAATCCAGCATATTTATGCTGGAACTTTCGGTGTCAATGACTTTACAAATGCTAGCTATTTTTCAATTACCAATTCGAAAACTGGCTAGTTTGTGCAATTTTCACGTTTATTTTTTCAATCAAATAAGGGTTAGGAAACACCGAATTGAAATTAGAACGGTGCACTATATAATTTAAACTATGACATCTGCTTCACTCTGTTATCCTGTCAATGACAGAGTCAAGGTTAGTGTCAGAAAAGACATCTAAAAACTTTTCTAGTCAATATGGTTTTTATTTTTTGGTGGTGCGAGGGGGAGAGGAAAAAAGATCTTCAGAAAAACATTTTATTTCACGATTAAAAGGTATTACTGATGAGCCTAATCACTCGAATAGAAAATGGAAAAAATCTTTGCAAGAAGCGTTTTTCTCTTTAATAACTTTATTCGGTGCAAATCTAAATTAATCGGCTGATTTAAAAAATCGTTTCGTGATAAAAGATGTTTTCTCTTTGGCAGGATCCAGTGGTGACCCTAAGGACCCCAACAGCTCGAGGAGTTTTCGTGCTTTGACTGTTTTGCTATTATTTACGATCTTCCCAGTTTTAATATAGATTGTAATTATACAGGAGCTTATGTAGGTGTGGTGGTGAGAATAAATAAAAGTTGCTGAAAGAATTATATTTCCTTCTATAACAACTTTGAGAATATGAGATTCAGTTGTTTTTTTCTCTATTCTTTTAATGACATGGGCTGGTTCTTTTGATACTATTACATTTAATTAGTACATGAATAATGTTGATTTAATTAACTCTTCGGGATGACCCAGTTGGTTTGGAGGGCGGTCATCCATACAGATGATTTGAATTGATCCCCTCAACGCCTTCTGGGTTGACCCTGTCGGACAGAGCTTATCTAGTGCGGTTTACATCCTCTGTATAGTTTGAATGCAGCAGAGACTGTAACGGCTGCGGGTTTTCTATGGTTCCAAAAAAAATTAATTTAATTAGATCGCTTTACTAAAAAGAATAAAAAGGGTAGAGGAAAAACTCACCTGTCATGTTTGTAACATTGTGCATTAATTTATTGTCCAGTATTTTGAACGGTATGATATTGTTGATAACTAAACAAACGATCATGGGCAAAGGAGCAGGGTGATAGTCGGCGGCAACTTGACAGTAGCACATAATTTGGAGATTGAAAAGGTTGTCGGATTGCAAGATAGTACATATTCGACAGGACAGAATCCCTTCCAATCAAGTGAATAACCACTAGAAGTAAAACTGCAGTTGTTGGATTTTTCTACCAATGATGTGGCTCTCAAAATAATGCAAACCAGTATCTCTAAATATCTGTCGAAAGATTACAAAAGAAAATTTAATATTACTATTATTACTACTATAGTTTATTACAAGTTGTTGCCTGAGAAACACAAAAATTAAGAAAACAAAAGGATAGGATCCGGCCGTTGTGGAAATGATTAAACTGCGCTATATTTATACAAAAATTAGAAGAGCGTCCATATCCTCAGCCACATCTTTGCTAACTGCGCACGTTTGGTTGTCAGCATTTTGTCCCCAAGATCACATTTCATGTGTAAGATAAACTTTTCGCAGTGAGATTGATTCAATATTTAAACTTGTGGCGAAGTTTAGTTTTTAAAGTTTTTACGGTCAAAGTAATATATCTATGTTATAAATATATTATATTATGGATATTCATTTAGTACTCCGTTGTAAATAATTTTTCTGAAGAAACTTATCCATATGAGACTCCACCGTAAATATGTTTATCTATTTAGTACTCTATTGGAAATAAGCTTCCTGAAGAAGCTTATCACTTCGGTACCCGGTTATGGATGAACATTACCCTAGGTAGAAGATTATCCATACCGGCTATAACACTACTAAAAATCTGGGAAAAAGCGACCAAAAATTAGCGACCAAATTTGGTCTGTCAAGAAAAGCGACCAAGGTTGGTCGCCAAATTACCGAAAATAATAAAAAAAATATTTGAAATATATTAGCGACCAAAGTTGGTCTCTATTTGGTCGCAAATTTAGTCAAATTGTTGACTGGACTGGTCATACTTGCTTGGTCAAATATATACTGAGATTAGCGACCAATATTGGTCGCTAAAGTTGGACCCACATTAAATTTGTTAATAATTTTATTATTATTTTATAAAACTTATAAAATATAAATATATATAATTTAAAACTTGCAACCAACGTTGGTCGCTAATTGAAGGATAAGCTGGTAGCGACCAACATTGGTCGCTAACATGGGACCCAGTTATAATATTTTAATAAATATATATTTATTTAAAAAAAATTTAAAATATAAATAAATATAATTCAAAAGCTAGCGACCAATGTTGGTCGCTTAATGAAATAGAGACCAACGTTGGTCGCCAATGTGGGATCCAGTTCTAACGTTTAATAATTTTTATTATTAATTTAAATATTATATAAAATATAAATAAATCTGATTAAAATTTAGTGACCAAATTTGGTCGCTAAATTAAATTCATGTACTGTTAGTGACCAACTTTGGTCGCTAAATTAAATTCAATTACAGTTGGCGACCAAAGTTGGTCTCTATATGGTCAAAATTAGAAATCACTTTTGTATTTACTATGTAAATAATATAAATGTAAGTCGTTAACACTTATGAATTTTGTTAACAATATGTAGGTAAATGATCCAATTAATGGTGTAAATCAATTTTTGAAAAATATATCTTGGGGACCTGGGGTTGAGGTCACAACATATTCCAAGTACGTTGTGAATGGTTATAAGTTTCACATAGAGGGTTGCTCTAAAAATAAAAAAAGCAACAACAGTGGGGTGTGGGTTCAAGGAGGTGATGGCAACCAAGTTGGAGATATTGATTATTATGGTGTGCTCAAAGAAATAATAGAACTAGAATATTCAGGTAGGCCATTTAAGAAAATTATTCTCTTTATATGCAAGTGGTTTGACCCAAATCCAACAAGAGGTACGAGAGTACACAATCAATATAACATAATTGAGGTTAATCATACGAGGGAGTATGATCGCTATGATCCTTTCATAATTGCACATAATGGTATTATGCTCCTTATCCATTTCGGCGGAATAAGTCTGATTGGTAGGTTGTAATCAAAACTAAGTCTGTAGGTAGGGTCGAAGTCGAGAATGTGTTGGATGTTGCATATCAAAACGATATCTCCAGTGTTCACCAAATAGTGGACGAACTTTTAGAAAATGATTTGGAACATCCTGAACACATATTGGAAGAAGTTGATATAAATGAAGTAAGAATTATAGAAAACGAGGAAGAAGAATCAACTGATGAAGCTCAAACTAGTGAGGAAGAAGAATTCTCTGACGAGGAAGAATACGTTGATGAGCTTTATAAAGTTGGTTTCTTTGATAACT